TCCTTTTAAATATTATTAAAATATCTAAATTGCTTACTTGAATTTTGGATTTTTAGAAATTAATTTTGGTTTAAATATGGTTTGTGATTTGTATCAAAAGTTACTTATATGAATTATCTAATTATCCAAATTTTTTTAGTATTAAATATTATATTTTTTTAAGACAAAATTCTATTTTTTGGGTTCAAACTTATAGACAATAATTCAAAAGAAAAAGATTTAAAAATCAAAATTAAAAAGAAAAAGTTTTTAATTTAACCATGAAGAATACTAATACATTAATATTAGTACACATAAAATTTTTAGTTATTTCAATTAATGAACCTAATTATCTAAATAATTTTAAGTTACCAATTAATTAAAATCATAATTAAATGAAATGTTTGGTTTAGCTTTGATAGAAATTCCCATATGAAATTTTTTCAAATAACCAAAAATTCAATTAATTTCAGAGAGGTCAAACCAAATGCCCAACCCTACTACCAAACCGTTTACACAACTCAACTCAACGGCATAGAATATGACATCTCCGGGCTCCTGATAATAAGGAATTACCTTAAAAGAGTCAAAAAACGACTTTCTAATCCAAACTGTTGTACGGGCAATCATGGATTCTAGTTTTTCAAGACAATGATCACGTTAATCATAGACCTATATATCTATAACTCCTACAATCGGTTTGGTACAGTTCTCATCATATAATAGTATTATGTTGGTTAAACACGTGAAAGAACGAGGCTTGAGAAAACATATTTGGACGTGCGAAATTCTCTCACCACCATTACGACGCTGCAGGTGCATCTTTTGTATTGTGGCTATTAAAGCAAGGTAAACTCTCTTGCAGAAAATGTTACCAAAAATTTTCGTCTCCCCTACTCTAATCCCTTGTTTTGTTTGGTTCGAAGGAAATGTTTTTTCTCTCATTTAGATGCACTAAAAATGCAAATAAAATTAAAGTAAAATCAGAGAGATTACTTTCCTTCAAACCAAACAAGACACATAAAAAAGGTTGTGCCAAAGAAAAAGTTGAAAGAAAAAGAAAATTAGAGGGGGATTCTTTGCCATGTTGTGAATTGAACAGAGCGTTATAACTAGGATGGGCCTGAAACCTGTGGAGCCCAAACAAGAGATAAAGCTAAAGCCTAAAGCCGGCTCTTGAACTAATCCTAAGAGACCCAACTCAATAAGTATGGATCAAATGGGTTAAGATTA